GGTAATTTTTTTTCCTTTTATTTTTGTATTCACCCTCCTCTTTCTCAATCTCACCTTCAACCTCACCCTCATTCTTCACATCAAGCCCTAGCAGACATCAAGCTTCAGATCGTCGAATACAGATTTCCGATGAATCGGAAACCCCATCAGACCGCCTGAGCCCAAGCGACGAGTACAGATTTTTGATGAACCGGAAACCCCATCATATCGCTCGCCCAAACCCTAGATTTAGACGAAAGAACCCTAGCATCCTTCTTCTTCAGATCGCCGGCGGTGATCTCCTTCACCGATCCCGACGAGTCAATGGAGTTCGATTCCTCCTCGTTCCGATGCTTCCCCATGTTTAATTTATAGAACGTTTAATTTTAGATTTGTAGAAGATTTAATTTTATTTTTATCTAAGAAAATTACAAAAAAATCTTAGATTGACTAATTTTTGCAGTGTAATTGTTTATAGGTCATCTTTCTTTTTATATCTTTTCAGTATACTTGTTTTAATGTTAGTATAATTTTTTTGCAGTATAATTTCGTTGCCACCATTGCACGGGTGCCCTCAAGGTAAATCCATTTTTAGCGTTATTTTAGCATCATGATTATTCCATTGACTTTTATTGAGTTTATTTATTTATTATTGGATTACTTTTGTGTCGTTAATTAATTATTTTAATGAGGAAATTTGTTCTTGGTGTATAGTTTTGTTCTTGGTGTATAGATTTGATCAGACATTGGAGTAAGTTTATAATCTCGTGTTCTACTAGTTTACAGGACTCTTTTATAAGTTGTAATCACTGACGTTATTACATTAATGTCACCTCTGATCCGTCGCCTTCTTTGTCTTATGAATTTCAGTTTATTGAATAACCATGAGAAGTTAAAGGTACTTGATGATTGTCGTTATAATCCAAAATAATAGTTCTAGGAGAATGTTTAATTATCTGAACATGTTCAAAGAGTTTACAAACCAAAATAGAATTAATATTTTTTAAATGTTTAATTATCTGAACATGTTCAAAGAGTTTACAAACCAAAATAGAATTAATATTTTTTAGATACCATACATCTAATTATACAATACAAACTGATGTCAAACTTGATGCATCAGAAAGACTGTTTTCACTTCTGTTGTATTCTCCATTTCACATTAGGAGTTTTATGTTTGTCTCTATCTCTTTCCAATTTTTTACTTAGTTCTGACCATTGACTGAATAGGTTTTGCATGTGAATAGGTTCAATTTGGTGTTCTGTTCTGCAAAATAGTTAAACAATGGATAAAAGTTGGGTACATTTTGATCGCCGAAGTCCAGATTATGTTGCAGGGTTGAACTTATTTGTAGATGAAGCCCTTACCAAGTCTAGTCGTAAAGATAAGATCATATGTCCTTGTAAAGAATGTTGTAATCGTTATTTTGAAGGTAAGATGACTGTGGTGGGACATCTTCTTTGGCATGGAATGGACCCTTTATACATGAATGCTCGATGGACACATCATGGTGAGCCTTACGTTGAATCAACAAATGTCATGGAAATGGATGTTGCTGAAGGAGATGTAGGTGAAATGCATGATTTCCTTAATGAGACATTTGTGCAACCAAATATTGGTGAGAACATAGGGTCATCGAGGCAGCCTATTTTTGATGGTCGAACACCCGAAGCAGAGCGATTTTTTAAGTTACTTGAACAAGCTGATAAGGAGTTGTATCCAGGATGCAAGAAGTATAAAAAATTGGATGCCGTCGTAAAATTGTACCAGAGCAAGTGTTTGGGAAATGTGACTAACAAGGCTTTTGATATGTTTTTAGAGCTTTTTAAAGATATGTTGCCTGAGGGAAATTGTTTGTCACAGTCTATTTCACAAGCTAAAAAGATTATTGATGATTTGGGCATTACTTATGAGAAGATTGATGCTTGCCCTAACGACTGCATGTTGTTTTGGAAAGAGACAGCAAACTTAATTGTGTGCTCTACATGTGGTGCGTCAAGATACAAAGTGAAAAAAGTAACAAGAGTTGGTGATAGTTCAACGGGGGATAATTCTAGTAAGAAAGTATCAGCTAAGATTCTCCGGTATTTTCCACTAACACCGAGGTTGAAAAGGTTGTATATGTCAAAACATACTGCAGAATATATGAGATGGCATGCTACCGAATGCCCTAAAGATGGATTTATGAGACACCCGTCAGATTCTCCAGCTTGGAAACATTTAGATTCATTGTACCCGAATTTTGCATTTGAAATTCGAAATGTAAGATTGGGTTTGGCAAGCGACGGGTTCAATTCTTTTGCACATATGAGTAGTGATCATAGCACTTGGCCCGTCGTAATTTCTGTTTATAATCTGCCTCCGTGGATGTGCATGAAGCAACCCTTCTTGTTTCTTTCTTTACTTATTCCAGGCCCTAATGCACCTGGAAATGATATTGACGTGTACTTGAAACCTTTAATTGACGAGCTAAAGGAGTTATGGGAGGTTGGTGCCAACACTTATGATGTGTTTTCCAATCAGTCATTCGACATGAAAGCTGCTGTGTTGTGGACAATAAACGACTTTCCTGCATATGTGAATCTTTCGGGATGGAGCACGAAGGGGAAGCTTGCATGTCCTCAATGTCATCATCAAACAATATCCAAACGCTTGCCTAATTGTAAAAAGCAATGTTATTTGGGTAATCGTAGATTTTTGCCCATAACGCATAGATTTCGAAATGATGGAGCTTCATTTGATGGCAAATGCGAGAGGGGTCAAGCACCAAAGATGTTGACCGGGGCCCAGTGTTTAGCACAAATGTCTAATCTGACCTTTACCTTTGGGAAATCACCACCTTCAGAATCTAAAACTGATGATATTACACGAAAAAAGAAAAGGAAAAGAAATACTTTTGCTACCTCCAAAGAACCAGTTCAAATGCCTTCGCTATTTGACGAGCACGACGCTGACGCTGTCTCTGACGAGCTCTTTTCGTCAATGTTGGCGGGCTTTGATTCGATGAATCTTTAACTAGATAAGAGCCATTGTGAGCAGAGGTGTTGCGAGTGAAATTCTCGGCAACAATCAAGCGAGGAAAAGAAATACTTTTGCTACCTCCAAAGAACCAAGAAATGGTACTAATAATCCATGGAAAAAGAAAAGTATATTTTTTCTTTACCATATTGGGAGCATCTTTTGATACATCATAATCTAGATGTTATGCATATTGAGAAGAACGTATCAGAAAAAATTTTGTATACATTGTTGGGCACTTCTAAAAGGACAAAGGATGGACTTGAAGCTCGTGCTGACCTAGAACTTCTCAATATAAGGAAAGGTCTCCATCCAATTCGTGTGGGAGCTAGGACATACTTACCACCTGCAATATTCTCTATGACTAATAAAGAAAAGACGCTATTTTGTCGTGTGTTATCGAAGGTGCGAGTTCCTGATGGATACTCATCAAATGTTGCGAGGTCTGTTGATGTGAAGGATCGAAAAATACATGGTTTGAAGATTCATGATCATCATGTTATAATGCACCAATTACTCCCGCTTGCGATACGAAGGGTTTTGCCTAGACCTCTTACTCTTGTTTTGCTTGAGTTAAGTGCAATCTTTAGACGGTTGTGCGGTAAGAAAGAATCTGAAGCATCATTCAAGCATTTGGAATATAGAATTGCATTGACCGTATGTTATTTGGAGAAAATGCTCACTCCTTCATTCTTTGATATAACGGTTCACTTACTCGTTCATCTCGCCCACGAGGCTGCTATTGCTGGACCAGTCCAATATCGATGGATGTATCCCATTGAAAGGTAAAACACAAAAAAAATATTGAACTTTTTGCTTCTAAATTTCACTTGCCTTCTATAACTCAGTTTATGCTTTTTTTCCTCTCGAAAGGTATTTACAAACATTGAAACGATATGTTCGAAATAAAAATTATCCGGAAGGAAGCATTTGCATAGGATATCTTGCAGACGAGGCTTTGGCATTTTGCTCCATGTACTTATCAGACATTGAGACTCGTCGTACTCGTCGTGGTCGTAATGCCGATGTTTCTACCCCTCGTGAAGGCTTGTCAATCTTTGCATACTCAGGTCGTTGTGTGGGTAAAGCCACACAAGTAGATCTTGAAAGAAGTGTATGGGAGCAATGTCGCAAATACATTTTGTTCAATTGCAGCGAAGTCTCTCCATTTCTAGAGTAAGATATTTTATTAGATGTTTAGCCCTTTTTTTTGGTATGTCTAGTTCATTAAGTGAATTTTAAGTTCGTACATATATGTTATGGTTAACTTTAATAGAAAAAGGATGGCGGAGTTACGCAAAATCCACCGACGAAAAACTGTTCGAGAAGTAGAGAATTTGAGAAATAAGGAATTTCCTACTTGGTTTCAGAACCATGTAAGTTACAGCTTCGTAGTTATACAATTATCATTTTTTGTACTACATTTTTTTGTAATATATAATTGACTTTGTTAATTATTGCCTCAGGTGAATGATTTGCATGCAAAAGGCGATTCTTCCGTAACGGAAGATTTACGTCGACTTGCTAATGGTCCTAATATGACTGTGAAACATTATAAAACCTGCATTGTTAATGGTTGCAGATTCCGAATTAAATCGGTTGATGACAACCATAAAAATCAAAATTGTGGAGTCTTTGTTTCTGCACAAACCTCAAGTTATTCTAGTGTGAGGGACAACAATCCGATTACCGGTAATGTTGACTACTATGGAGTTTTAAAGAATATTTACGAATGTGATTATGGTATTCCTGGAGAGATCGAAGGTCATGGATGTAAAGTGGTGTTATTTGATTGTGATTGGGTCAGTAACTCTGGGAAGAAGCTTGATAATTATGGTTTCACCTTAGTGAATTTCAAACACTTGGCACACAACAACGATACATTTATAACAGCTTCACAAGCTGTACAAGTGTTTTATGTTTGTGATCCAAAAGACATGGATTGGAATGTTGCTGTTAAATTAAGCCCGAGGGATTTCTTTGATGTCATGGAGAGTGATGATGGATCATCAAGTATGTCCAACCCATTAAATTCAGATGATTATTATGCTATACCAAATCTTGATGGTCGGGCACTAGACGATGAAGAATTACAAGTTAGAACTGATATCCGTGGAACCTTTGTTAACAAGCAGTTACCACTACCAGTTGCTAATGATTCTTTAGGTAATGAGGAAGAGCTTGAGGATGATGATGAGGAAAACGAAGATGATGAAAGTGAGGACAGTGAAGAAGAATTGAATTAGTAGATTTTGTGATTGTATTATTAGTAGAATTGATTCCTTTGAAATTGCACTTGTTTCATTTGTTATTCATTGGATTTACTGCTCATGCATTTTTTTTGAAAGTGTTTAGTTAATAAATTATTGAAAAACTTGTGAAGTTAGATTTGATAATTGATGCCATACTTTGTGTTTGGGATTTTTAACTATTTAGATGAGTAGAGTTGAGTATTCTGCTTCCAACGAAGAACACAATATAGAAGACAGTACAGGGGAATCTGATGGCACTCATGATGATAATGGTACGTGTTTTCTTAAATTTTTTGATCAGCTCTTTAGTTCTTCCTATTTTGTTAATTCATATTCTATATTTATTTGATCAATCTTAAACTTGTGAATCTTTTCCAGCTATTATATTACACTCAACATTACAATGAGTCTCATAATTTACACCATGACTCACTAGCTTTGGCTCACCATACAAACACATCCCTCCTCTTCTTAGAAATGTTGGGTAAACGTTTATGATCTAAATTAGAATAATTCTCACAGAACATAGGTGTCGCGTCACATTTGCCTTCGGTTTCCATAATAAGTTTCCTTTTCGAGACAGGAAGTAAGTTCAATCCTTCTTTTTTGTTTTTTGTTTTTGAAAGTATGTTAGAATAGTTTATATAAAGAGTATCCTGGAAACTGGAGTCATGCCAGTCATCTCATCAGCAGTGAATAGTATGGGACTCAATCAAAACCGTGGCTTACAATTTCAGCGGCTGGGATGCAAGATTGTGAATTCGTACCCCCCATTTTTAAATCATATTACACAATGTTTCAAGTGTGACAAGAGGTCCAATAAGCTCCTTCATTGAAAACTTAGCTAAAGCTTTAAGCCACGGCTATTGCATATTACTCTTTCAAATGACGATACATTTTTTTTGTTTACTTATGGATATATTATAATTTAGTTATGTGATCATCTGATAAAAAATGAACATTATTATTAGTGATAAAATTTATGGGGAACGTGTGTTTCTTTAAGTATAATCAAATTGGCATGTCCATGAATGTCAATTTGTTAACTCAGTTCTAGCTGGTTAACTTGATATTATTAGGAAGTCATCAATTGGTGGATTTCATCAACAAAAAAAAATTGTATGAGGCAATTAATTTTTTCAGTTTACAATTAGAGTATATTTATTACACGTTTCTTTCATCCATTAATGCATTATTTAGCTTTCAATGCTATAGATGAGTGGTTTTTTTATTATTCATTAGCTTTATTACTCATGTCTTCAGATTGATCTTATAAAGTGTTAGATATTTTGTTAACAAAAGACAATTTTGCCTTCATGAATTATAATAAATATTGTAATTAAAACATGCAATTAAAATATGTGTAACGGCTATATAATTATGGGGAACGTTACAAAATTTATGACGAACGTTACAGAATTAATTACGGGTTTTGTAACGTCTTTTCCAACCGTATATATATATCCGTATGTTGAGCTCAAAATAATAAGAATAAAATAAAAAATATACAACAAGTTTCTCTTGTTTTTCTTCTCTCCCCTACATATTATTTTCATCTACATTTTAGTTTTATTTTATGGGCAACTTCCTTCATCTGAGCTGAAGCTCTGCACTCTCGCCCGAGTGTAGAGGCCGGCCGTTTCCGGGGGTTTTTACCGCTAGGGGAGGGAACCATCTGCGCCAGGGCGATAGGCGGGTTCTCAATCTTCTAGGGCAGTGAATACACGACTGCTCCCGATCAGGCCAGTTTTATTTGTTTATTTTTTCGGATTTATCTGCATGCTATAATCTTAATTATTTGATAAATTTCCAACATAAAGTCCATAAAATAAAATACATTTAGAATATACATGGAGATGTTCAATGGTGTTGATAGCTTGTTATTTATCCATATTCTTTAACTTTCAAGGTTGATAAGGGTGCTATATTACTCATTAGCTTCGTGATCTGGAGGAACAACGGATGTCAGCTTTTACTTGTACATCATGACAATGTTTTTCAAAAGGTAGATCTCGTTGCGATTTTCAATTGATATAGGGTTATTTGCACATGAACGTACACTACGAATTCAAGTCCAATTATATACACTCATACCCAATTTCATGTATGTTTTCAGCAAAAGTTGAATTTGTTGTCGAATTCATTGTCTCTTCAGTCGATTACAATAAACTCAAAGAAAATAGCCTTTTTATAAGACTCTTTTACACAACAAAAAGAAAATTACAACTCTTGAGAAAATAAACGCAGGATCGTTGTTTGGATCGCTGCTTGTGTGGGATCTTTGCCTGTGCCGTGAGCGCTTTGACTCGTGGACCGCCAAGTCACAGATTCTGATTGAATCGTGAGGGGTTTATGATTCTGACTTCGTTTATCGAAGTGAGAAATTGAAACGATATCTTATCGATGTAAGATAGTCGTTCTTCTTGAAATCAAGTCAAAGCCTGATTATCAAGGAGTGGCCGAAAGTTCAAGACCTCTGCTCTCTCTCTGCTCTGGATTGCTCTGAAGTGCTCAAAATGACCAGCCTCTGGAAAAATGGCCTTAGGAGGGTATTTATAACCTCCAAGAACAGTTGGCAGAAAACAGGTTCGCAAGGTTTCTTCCCCTCAAGCCTATAGATTGGCGGTTGCATGATGATACTACCATGGATCATGTGTGGAAAACAATATATGTATGATGTTCTTGAACACTTTCAGCTTTAATATGTATTGAAACATATATTATAACACTTGTAAATGGTATAACACTTGTATGAGTGCAGGATACCATAGATTGGCGGCCTGAAGATGTTCCCAATATTCCTAAAATCCGACTTGTAATGTTGCAAAGATTGTCTGATAGGTGCAGAAACTATAAGGAAAGTTTAAAAGCTAAGTATTACACTCCCTATGTTGGTTTGCCAGAACGATTCTTGTGTGGAGATGATCGTGTAGATCGCGACCAATGGCGGGCAATGGTTAACTATTGGGACACTGATCCAAAAAATAAAGTAAGTACTACCATCCATAATATAATGTCTCGCACGGCGAGACAGTCAAGTCTGTCTCGCGTGCGAGACAGTAAAGACTTTGTGTTTTTTCTGCCTTTTTGGATGATTTCTTCTTGAGCTGTATTTGGATATCTTTCAGCATTTTTTGACGCCTACAATGTATACAAGGTGTTGGAAAGATCAAGAATCGTTGCGGATGCCTTGAACGAGAAATTTGCTAAATTGTCGACATATCGACCAAAATCTGGGTTTTAATATTTAAGATCAATCTATTTTATATGGTTATTAACTTTAGTGTATGCAGGTCAAACACAAAAGAAAAGAGGGCGTGGTTATGACAAGCCATCACTGGAGTTAGTCAATTTGGTCTTGTTCCACCGTGAATCTGGGACAATGGAACCTGAGTCGTGGTTCGCTATAGCGTCTCATGAGCCCGACTTCTATGGTACAGATGTACTTCTTTAGTTATGCTTATGCCTGTCAAACTCATTTTGATCTTGCCCAATTCAATCCGTCAAAAGGCAGTAAACTCTAATTTCATATGAACACATGATCTGATTTAAACGAATGAAAACATTGATGTGACGGAGTTTTGATGATGTGTCAGAGGGTTAGGCATAATTCATAACTAACCCTATAAACCAAAATTGAACTCCAAAATTTCCCCTACCAACCAAGAATCCTAATCCACAAAAAAAGCCGCAATTTTATTCCTGTTTTAGTTTAAATGAATCCCAACTACCTTATACACATCATCTGCACTTCGCTAACTAAACATTCCAATTTGGTAATTTAGCTGAAAACTATTGTATTGAAAGTACAGATGTACTTCTTTAGTTCTACTTATGCCCATCAGATTCACTTTGACATTGTCTTACCCATCGTAATGTGTTTACTTCTTACTTATGTGTCAGTAATGCCGTTTTGTTTTCTTGAAGATATATCACCTTGTCAGGTTTCCTTTTATTCACCTTAGTCATGTGATTTGATACCTAGTTGTTAAATATCTCTTTTACATATGTGGGCTGGTCATTAACTTTGATTGTTTTATGCACTTTATAGTGTTAAGGAACACTGTAAGAAGTAACTCATGGCAAGAATAAAACCTCAAGCACTGCTAGTTCAGAGCAAAAAGAAGAAGGCTCCATCACGATGGACCATAATCTAATAGAACACAATTGCTTGCTTCTGACATTTAATATATAATTTGGTATTCCAACACCATGGACCATAATCTAATAGAACACAATTATATTGGTCCCTACTTCATCCCATCCTACACTGCCATGTACAGAAACTAAGAACAAAAATCTAATACATTGCTACTGGTGTCTAATACATTGATTTCGTACTCCATGAGGTCCATAACAGAGAGGCTTAATGCCGCGAGTGTATTATTGGCTGGCAAGTACTAGCTCGGGTACAACTGTACTGACCCGGATAATTGAAGACACACGCTTGGATTGCTAGCGGTTGAGGGGTGATGAATATTTTGGTTTGATTGCTAAATCAGGACTGTTTATTGAGTACTTTGGTCTCTAAAAATTGAGAGAACCTGCTTCTATTCAAATATCAGAGTTGTGATGTATTAGGATTTTCTCTTAAAGTTACATTAATGCCTATGCTCTCAATCGTCTTAGTTGTCCTGGATTTGTTTGAATTGACCTTTATTCTATGTAGACCATTTGATGTCTATAACATTACATTTACTGTTGAAGTCTGCTTCTTTGAGATGTTGCTTCTTTAATTAAATAAAATTTATGATTGTTTTTCTACGTTTTACAAATAGGAGAAAAAACATGGTCGCAAACCCGATCCTATTGAGATGTTTTATATAGTGCACAAACGGCGAGATGAAAACAAAAGTTGGATAGATGATGCATCGGAGGAATTGGCGGTGAGTTTGAAATTTAATAATTTGTATTTAGACAAGTAATACATGTAAAAAATTGTTTTACTTCATATTGTGTCCATTTTGGTTGTTGAAGTGAATTCTTTTTTCAGGTTAAGATCTCACGGGAATTAACGAGTTTGGTTGAAACCCATGGCGAGGAAACATCAGAACTAAGGCAACAAGCTTATGTAGCAGCAAGGGGTTTAGAGACTCGTGGTAGAGTTCGTGGTTATGGAAGAGGGGTGACGCCAGACATGATTCCTTGGGTGGCACAAACTCAGCCAACATCTTCATCACTTCGATCACGTACTGGGCGAGCATATGCTAATTTGCAATCTCAATATTCAGAACTTGAGGAAAAGTATGAGCGACAGCAAAAGGAGTTGGATGAGTTGAAACAGATGATCACTTCAGGGAACGCACATCCGCATCAACAATCTTCCTCCCAACATCAGTCTAACTCCCAGCAGTGGTCTTCATCCCAACAACAGTCACATTCCGAACAAATTCCGACATCTTGCCCATATCCACCATATCAGCATCGTCGTCCGCGATCTCCTTCCCAAAGAAGTGTATGGGAGCAATGTCGCAAATATATTTTGTTCAATTGCAGCGAAGTCTCTCCATTTCTAGAGTGAGATATTTTATTAGATGTTTAGCCCCTTTTTTTGGTATGTCTAGTTCATTAAGTGAATTTTAAGTTCACACTTGTCTGTTATGGTTAACTTTAATAGAAAAAGGATGGCGGAGTTACGCAAAATCCACCGACGGAAAACTGTTCGAGAAGTAGAGAATTTGAGAAATAAGGAATTTCCTACTTGGTTCCAAAACCATGTAAGTTACAGCTTTGTGTTATACAATTATCATTTTTTGTTGTAGATTTTTTATAATATATAATTGACGTTGTTAATTATTGTCTCAGGTGAATGATTTGCATGCAAAAGGTGATTCTTCCGTAACAGAAGATTTACGTCGACTTGCTAATGGTCCTAATATGACTGTGAAACAGTATAAAACCTGCATTGTTAATGGTTGCAGATTCCGGATTAAATCGGTTGATGACAACCATAAAAATCAAAATTGTGGAGTCTTTGTTTCTGCACAAACCTCAAGTTATTCTAGTGTGAGGGACAACAATCCGATTACCGGTAATGTTGACTACTATGGAGTTTTAAAGAATATTTACGAATGTGATTATGGTCTTCCTGGAGAGCCCGAAGGTCATGGATGTAAAGTGGTGTTATTTGATTGTGATTGGGTCAGCAACTCTGGGAAGAAGCTTGATAATTATGGTTTCACCTTAGTGAATTTCAAACACTTGGCACACAACAACGATACATTTATAACAGCTTCACAAGCTGTACAAGTGTTTTATGTTTGTGATCCAAAAGACATGGATTGGAATGTTGCTGTTAAATTAAGCCCGAGGGATTTCTTTGATGTCATGGAGAGTGATGATGGATCATCAAGTATGTCCAACCCATTAAATTCAGATGATTATTATGCCATACCAAATCTTGATGATCGGGCACTAGACGATGAGGAATTACAAGTTAGAACTGATATCCGTGGAACCTTTGTTAACAAGCAGTTACCACTACCAGTTGCTAATGATTCTGTAGGTAATGAGGAAGAGCTTGAGGGTGATGATGAGGAAAACGAAGATGATGAAAGTGAGGACAGTGAAGAAGAATTGTATTAGTAGATTTTGTGATTGTATTATTAGTAGAATTGATTCTTTTGAAATTGCACTTGTTTTATTTGTTATTCATTGGATTTACTGCTCATGCATTTTTTTGAAAGTGTTTAGTTAATAAATTACTGAAAAACTTGTGAAGTTAGATTTGATAATTGATGCCATACTTTGTGTTTGGGATTTTTTACTATTTAGATGAGTAGAGTTGAGTATTCTGCTTCCAACGAAGAACACAATATAGAAGAGAGTACAGGGGAATTTGATGGCACTCATGATGATAATGGTACGTGTTTTCTTAAATTTTTTGATCAGCTCTTTAGTTCTTCATATGTTGTTATTTCATATTCTAGTTTTATTTGATCAATCTTAAACTTGTGAATCTTTTCCTTTCTCGGGATATGTTGCACCAAACGAGCCATATCCGCATGAACCATCTTTACCAACAAAATTTAAGTAAATCAGAATGCAATAAATTGGATATAAACTAATGGCATTGAAACATCGATACTGTATTGTCGGATGCTCTTTGAGCTGCTGCTGCAGCAGCTCAAAGAGCTGCTGCTGCTGCTGTTGCAGACAGCTCTTTGAGCTGCTGCTACTGCGCAGAAATGAGAAAAATGTAAAAGCCCCCGTGTCAATGTGCACATGAACGTACACTACGAATTCAAGTCCAGTTATATACACTCATACCCCATTTCACGTATACAAGGTGTTGGAAAGGTGAAGAATCGTTTCGGATGCCTCGAATGAGAAATTTGCTAAATTCTCAACATATCGACCAAAACCCTGGTTTTAATATTTATTTATCTATTTTATATGGTTATTAACTTTAGTGTATGCAGGTCAAACGCAAAAGAAAAGAGGGCGTGGTTATGACAAGCCAAAGTGGGGAAAATCTGGCAAGGAGTCTATTGCATTCACAGAGGATGGATTGTGCGTTGACCCCAAGGATGCCCAACTGTCTAGGTACTTAGGTAGCCTAGCAAAAAATTCAAGGTTTCTTCCCCTCAAGCCTATAGATTGGCGGTTGCATGATGATACTACCATGGATCATGTGTGGAAAACAATATATGTATGATGTTCTTGAACACTTTTAGTTTTAATATGTATTGAAACATATATTATAACACTTGTAAATGGTATAACACTTGTATGAGTGCAGGATACCATAGATTGGCGGCCTGAAGATGTTCCCAATATTCCTAAAATCCGGCTTGTAATGTTGCAGATTGTCTGTGATAGGTGCAGAAACTATAAGGCAAGTTTAAAAGCTAAGTATTACACTCCCTATGTTGGTTTGCCAGAACGATTCTTGTGTGGAGATGATCGTGTAGATCGCGACCAATGGCGGGCAATGGTTAACTATTGGGACACTGATCCAAAAAATAAAGTAAGTACTACCATCCATAATATAAACTTACGATTTCAAATTAGGCATAAATTTCTTATTATGTTGTGCGCCTCAGGTTAGATGTAAGAAGAATATTGAAAGCCGCAAGAGGCAAAAAATGAATCACACTGGTGGCACAAAGAGCTTCGCACGACACATGGCTGATTACGAAGTTAACACGAGACCTCCTTTTTTTCTTTAGACTGTGATGTCGTTTCATAGAATTTGTCATGTTTTATTTTGTGTTTGGGGAGCATTGAGACATCAGGTACTCAATACAATAATACTCAATGAAACAACTTCTGAAGTAAATAGCAATTTGAACTTCAGAATTTGTCAAAATTTTAACTGGTTTGAATTCTAAATCGGGTCACTGGAGTTAGTCAATTTGGTCTTGTTCCACCATGAATCTGGGACAATGGAACCTGAGTCGTGGTTCGCTATAGCGTCTCATGAGCCCGACTTCTATGGTACATATGTACTTCTTTAGTTATGCTTATGCCTGTCGAACTCATTTTGATCTTGCCCAATTCAATCCGTCAAAAGGCAGTAAACTCTAATTTCATATGCACATATGATCTTATTTAAACGAATGAAAACATTGATGTGACGGAGTTTTGATGATGTGTCAGAGGGTTAGGCATAATTCATAACTAACCCTATAAACCAAAATTGAACCCAAAATTTCCCCTACCAACCAAGAATCCTAATCCACAAAAAAAGCCGCAATTTTATTCCTGTTTTAGTTTAAATGAATCCTAACTACCTTATACACATCATCTGCACTTCGCTAACTAAACATTCCAATCTGGTAATTTAGCTGAAAACTATTGTATTGAAAGTACAGATGTACTTCTTTAGTTCTACTTATGCCCATCAGATTCACTTTGACATAGTCTTACCCATCGTAATGTGTTTACTTCTTACTTATGTGTCAGTAATGCCGTTTTGTTTTCTTGAAGATATATCACCTTGTCAGGTTTCCTTTTATTCACCTTAGTCATGTGATTTGATACCTAGTTGTTAAATATCTCTTTTACATATGTGGGCTGGTCATTAACTTTGATTGTTTTATGCACTTTATAGTGTTAAGGAACACTGTAAGAAGTAACTCATGGCAAGAATAAAACCTCAAGCACTGCTAGTTCAGAGCAAAAAGAAGAAGGCTCCATCATGATGGACCATAATCTAATAGAACACAATTGCTTGCTTCTGACATTTAATATATAATTTGGTATTCCAACACCATGGACCATAATCTAATAGAACACATTTATATTGGTCCCTACTTCATCCCATCCTACACTGCCATGTACAGAAACTAAGAACAAAAATCTAATACATTGCTACTGGTGTCTAATATATTGATTTCGTACTCCATGAGGTCCATAACAGAGAGGCTTAATGCCGCGAGTGTATTATTGGCTGGCAAGTACTAGCTCGGGTACAACTGTACTAACCCGGATCATTGAAGACACACGCTTGGATTAGCGGTTGAGGGGTGATGAATATTTTGGTTTGATTGCTAAATCAGGACTGTTTATTGTGTACTTTGGTCTCTAAAAATTGAGAGAACCTGCTTCTATTCAAATATCAGAGTTGTGATGTATTAGGATTTTCTCTTAAAGTTACATTAATGTCTATGCTCTCAATCGTCTTAGTTGTCCTGGATTTGTTTGAATAATTGCCCCAGATATAAAATATCTTCAATCCCATTATTCTATGTAGACCATTTAATGTCCATAACATTACATTTACTGTTGAAGTCTGCTTCTTTGAGATGTTGCTTCTTTAATTAAATAAAATTTATGATTGTTTTTCTGCGTTTTACAAATAAGAGAAAAAAACATGGTCGCAAACCCAATCCTATTGAGATGTTTTATATAGTGCACAAACGACGAGATGAAAATAAAAGTTGGATAGATGATGCATCGGAGGAATTGGCGGTGAGTTTGAAATTTAATAATTTGTATTTAGACAAGTAATACATGTAAAAAATTGTTTTACTTCATATTGTGTCCATTTTGGTTGTTGAAGTGAATTCTTTTTTCAGGTTAAGATCTCACGGGAATTAACGAGTTTGGTTGAAACCCATGGCGAGGAAACATCAGAACTAATGCAACAAGCTTATGTAGCAGCATCGTCGTTCGCGATCTCCTTCCCAACAACACTCACCTTCCCAGCACACTCCGACATCGTACCCATATCCTCCATATCAGCATCTTCCACCGTATCCGTATACATCATCTTCGCAGTTCTACTACCCCCATCCATACCAGCCACCTTTGTACCACCCAGTGCCACACCCACCTGGAGAGTTTACAGCAATGCTCAATGATTCAGATTTTATGCAACAGATGATGCCACCAAATGATAGGAATGACAGGGATAAAAGTTAGATATTTTTACATTCATTCATGTTGAAGGTCAATTTTGTTGGTTATTTAAGTTATTGTTAAGTACTATTTGTTACACGTTTTTAAGCAATTTTGGTACATTATTATGTAATCAAATTGGATTGACTTCTTATTAATCAAAATTATTCATGTTTCAATTATTTTATGTTTGTTTTTCAATTTAATTATATGAATTAAAAATTAATTATTTTTTTCGGATTTATTAAAAAAATAAAATATTAATATCAAATTTAAGATATTAGAGGCAATTATATTTGTACCTTAAATTAATACATTTATTTTAATTCCAACTATTTGGGGGCAGTTACATCTGTCTCTAATAAGTTATTAGAGGCAATTATATTTGTACCTTAAGTAAATATATTTATTATAATTCAAACTATTTGGGGCATTTATATCTGCATCTAATAAGTTATTAGAGGCAATTATATTTGCCTCTAATACTTTTTTAACTAAACCGGCTGACGTGGCGCATTGAGTATTTGGGGCGGAAGTTTGTGCAATATTGCCCCTAATAACTATTAGCAACACCACTTTTAGGTGCGGATACGAGTTTTGCCACTCATGTAATTAGAGGCATATAATTCCATTTATTTGCCTCTAATTAAAATAAAAGTGACGAAAATAATTGCCCCTAACTCTTTTTTTTTTTGTAGTGATGAGGTGGGCAAATCTCTCAGTGGTGATTCGATTTTTTTATAGTTTATTTGTGATTTTTTTAGAAAATCACATTAAATTGAATTTTTTATTTTGACTCAACAACTCAATTTGTGGTCTCAATTTAGTTTTATAATATATTCTTTTCATCGTTGTACATATATATTTTTGCCCTCACCCCTCCGCCCCTCCCCCATGTTTAAATCTTGGCTACGCCACTGTTCAGAACAATGCAATTCTTCACCTCTTTTAAAAAAGGGATTTGTTAATCATGACCAACCACAAGCAACATATGCTATCTGTCTCTCTCTATTATATATATATAATATGTGTGTGTGAGGAGAACAAGAAAAAAATAACTAAATTTCCACAAGAATCAACTAACGTCAATCTGGCAGAATTTCAACTTTCTTCATTTTTCCTCTTCTTACTTAGAAAATAGTAACCTTTTCCTTCCTCTTGACAACCAAGCAAACCTAACATTTACCCTCTCAAGTGCACAACTCTTCAAAACGTACGTAATCACATGAAAGAATCCGTTCTCACCTTCACTTCTCTCTCTCTCTCTCTCTCTCTCTCTCTCTCTCTTCTCTCTTCACTTTAGTTCAAGAAAGCAGACACAAAGACTGCTTTGCATATATAAGAGCTACATGGAACTGACCCTAAAGATTGCATACATTTTCTTGGGAGTACCAAAACTGCAGTTTTCATTAGCTAGTGCTCTGCCTCTCTCAAGGGTTGGTGGTGGGAGTTGATGCTGCTTATACAAACTTAGTAATGAAAATGACTCCTCTCTCTATAATAAGTTTTAATGAGCAAAATTTTGATATCAAAGAGATTTGCGTACCTGTTCATCTCTTGGCCGGGAACTTTAAATTTGGCTTTACATGCGGTATATGGTGAAAAAAGTACGGATTTACTGTGGAGAAGATTATAACAATTTGGTGTATCCTATATATGCTCATTCACTCCTAAGTCTAGTCAAAAGAAAAAACGGTACAGATTTACTGTGGAGAAGATCATAACAATTTCAACCTTTGTTGTTTTTTGTTTCTCAGAAGGTTTCACTAGATTGGTTCCATCTTTAAGGTCCCAAGAAATGATAGTGTGTCATGAAAGGTGGTTCCATTTTAATGTCCCAAAAAACTTTCAGTTTCTATTTTATGTAAAGATTCTTGAAACATTTTAATCTAATCTCATGTGACCGGTAGATCTTTACGGTTTACCTTCTTGATACCTCCTCTTCATTTTTGTTCTCTTTTGTTTTTAAAGGTTAAACCAAATATGGAAAAATAGAAAAGTAAAATATAACCCCTAAATTTATAGAAATTTGCACTCTTCACCATTAAAAATGAGTGACCAGACAGCCCCTAAACATGGGGTGAATTTCTCAAACAAACCCCCGGGCTTGGAGGTTTATTTGTTAACTCTCTTAATTTTTAAAATATCATATCGTCACTGTAAGTGTCAGTGTTCTCAAAAAATCCACATTAACTTTCAATGTTTTTTAAAAAGTTTCTGAAAGTGTGAACCAAAAACTTCCTCATGGATGATTATCCTTTTGTTGTTTATTCTGCAGTACATTTTGTTTTTTCTTTTGGTAAGTGGGACGGAACAATGAAGATGTCTCCTTATCGGTGACGGCAATGCCCTCTCCCGGTAGTTCACATCTTTCATTGGTCCTCCCTCCTTCACCTTACATAGTGCTTGTTTATGTAAATTCTTATCCTCCTTTTTGCATATATACATGAACAGGGCTTCTGGCCCTGTTTTTTCTTCAAAAGAAAAAACTTCCTCATGGATAATTTTACTCACCTATATGAAAAATGTAGTTAACGTTGTTAAAGATGCTTTTATTTAGATCATAGATATTTTTCAGCCTACCATGATCAACTTTACACGTCTGACTATTCCTTAAAAAAACAAATTAAGTGCACATCTGGCCGTATTTTATGTGACGTGGCAAATCTTGATTGGTGTCCATAGGTGCATAGAAGTGTTAAAGAGGAGCTAATGAGGAGCAACTTAGGATTTTCTGAAATTGAGGGGGGGCAAGCGTTAGGCTGGGCCGGGTCGGCCCATGAGCTAGTTCGCTCTTGAGCTCAGCTCGACCCGGCTCGGTGCAGGATGAGCCTGATTCGGCCCACTATAGTAGTGGGTCATAGGACCATGCAAAGTTGGCCTCTATAACAAGTCGACCGACAACTCGCTCAGCCCATAGAGCCCCGTGAGCGAGCTAGACTTAAATGTAAGTGGTCCGGCCCGCTGAACTCATCTCGTTGGCTCGCATATAAGTTGACATATTTTCTTTATTTTTATTTCCTTAAAGTTTGTTGTAATTTATTTTTATATTTTTAAACTACTAGAAAAATTAGTTGTCATTAGTGGAGTAGGACTTGCTCTAAACCACTTAAAATTTGTGTGTTTGCAATGTTTCTCGTTATTATTCTATACAATTATACAATTTTATTTTATAAAATTATTTTTTATTTCTATAATTATTGCATTGTTAATTATTTTTATCATGTAATTTTTAAGTGTCAAACAATGCTTTAAAACTATTTAAAAAATTAAAAACCATTTACAAAATCTAAAAAAAAATAAAAAATATGACATGGTAGGTCAGGCGGGCCGACACATGTCATGTCTAGCTTCGTTTAATCTTGTCCTGTGAGCAGGCTGGGCTGAGGTCTAAGCCCACGAACAAGCAATACAACACGGAAAGCTTGTCTCGTCGCGAGACATGGACCGTCTCATCCCG